GTAAGCCCCCAGGATAAAAACCGTGTCGATGTGCTTTATTAGTGCCCTTTTATGAGGCATTAATCCTCATTACTGTCAGTTATTTTAAGGACGTACGTCCCTTAGTTGATTAGCATAGTAGCATACACATGCTTTAGCAGTCACGCAAAACAAACACTCACAAATTATTATTCAATAAAATCTGAGAATGTATATTATTATCTAGATCTTCTAGGAATAAATCATTGTCAAAATCATTCCATAAATTGGGGTAAAAATAAGTTATTCCACCATTATGACCAACAGTGTATCAGTGGCGTAATGAGCAAAAACGTTTAGGAGGGGGGGGGGGGGGCTGACAAAAAAATCCACATCACCACACTCTTACATGCAGGCCCTGCTGAACGTTTTTCAAAGTGGGGTCTAAAGGCAAAGCCCCGGCGGGGGTCAAGGGGCGGAGCGCGGAAACTTGGACGTTTCATTAAATCATTACTCTTAATCCTTGTCTGAATTCATCTTCGCCCATCCCGCGCGAAGCGCGGAAGCTATCACGTGTAAGTAAATTATTAGAGAAAGAAGACGATTCGCTGTATCGAGTCCTTGTCTGAATTCAGTTTTTCTCCTCCTGCGTGTAGTGCGGAAGCTTTCACGTTTCATTAAATTATAGAGAAAGAAAACGTTTTCTAGAGTCACTGTTAGCCGCCACTAATTAGGTCCATTAGTGTCTATTAAAAAAACAGAAATGTAGAAACGCGCATGTTGTTGAAAATCATGTGATATCACGAGCATTTATAAATCACTTGCATGAAATTGAAAATAAGTAATCAATTAAATTAATAAGTGCCCTGGACCATAAACAAGCCCGGACTATTCCCTTATGGAAAATCGTATAATATGTGACTTCATTCCATCCAGACATAACCCCCTTCCCTTCGGTAATGTTGAAGCCGCAGTTTGTTATATTTTATATAGACAGTGCGTCCCCAAAAAACGAAACCGAGAATCATCGATGCTTTTATCATAACTTAATCACAATTATAATTAATAAATTACATATATTTGTAAAGCTTAGATCATCTTCTTTCATTTGATGCAACTCGTATGATGCATATTCCATGCATGAGTGATTAAAAACAATTTGAAGAGAGGGTACCAAAAAGTCATTTGGCGGGCGGTATCTGAATTTCAAAGAAGAAAATCACATTTCTAGAAAGTTCATTCTCTGCCCTTTCATATGACACCTCAATCAGGAAAAAACGAGCCAGGATTAATAGCAAAGTTGTGTTTGTTTAAAGTAATGCTTGCATTTCCATAATTTGATGAAACAAATTAGTTGACACTGGTTGCCTGCCGTAGAAACAAACAGATCGTTGACGATCAGCCATGCACAACGAAGACGAAAGACGTGATGCATGGCTTGTCGTCAACGAAACGGAGTAAACTCTTTTGTCAGCTTTGTTTGTTGCTACCGCAGGCAGCCAGTGAAAACGAAATATGTGTCATAAATTAATTTAACAAAAGACGTTAGTGGAAGATCCACACCTCCAGACGCCTCTACGTTTTACCCGATTAGTCCCCCCCCCCCCCCTCCCGCGCGAAGCGCGGAAGCTTTGACGTTTCAATAAATTATTAATACTAATCCTTGTCTGAATTCATTTTCGCCCATCCCGCGCGTAAATTATAAGAGAAAGAAGACGATTCGTTGTAGCGTGTCCTTGTCTGAATTCAGTTTTCCCCCTCCCGTGTGAAACGGAGGGATACCATGCGCGTTCCCAAACTCTCTGGTTCGTATCAAAAGAAAAAGGTCTACCCGTATCGACTTTAATCACCGGACTTTTGCTGAAAAAAAGGGTGTGGGGTGCTGAAAAAGGCTCGTATAACAAAAGAAAAGGGTCGACCCGTATTGACTTTACACATCGGACTTTTGCTGAAAGGGGGGGGGGGGGGGGGGTCGCTGGGAATACGCACATGCGTACCCTAAATAACAATGAGTGGGGGGGGGGGGGGCAGTCAGACCGCAGCGCGCGCGTTAATGAGGCTGAAAGCTGATTTTTATTCAGCGATATCTGGCGATCACATAACATTTACGTCTGCTGAATTTCCATGCGCTTTTCAGTGAGATTTGTAGGGGTGTACATGTAGCTGCGTTTTGGGTTGTTAACTTCATTCAACATGGCAGCATGCAACGGAAAGTCACTCTCGAGATTTTCAGCATCAGTTTGATATGTAATTTGCCATATTTCGCAATTTGTAAACAATAATTTTTCACAACTTTTATTGACGTTATTTTTGTAACATTTCAACTGCTGTTTTGACCCGGGAATTTCACTTTTGGTTCCTGACTTTGGGACAAAATAAATTTGTCCACTTTGAGATTCGTTCGAAAGATGAAAAGTCACTCATCAAAAATATGTCAAAACCTAATTGACGCAAAATCATGTTATTTTTATAATCATAGTAATTAAGACCCTAAAAACCCGGAAATTACCAATTTGTTCTTTTTATGATAGCGCGAAATTGTGTGATTACATACTCGTGCACGCTCGCCGTCTGAGCAATGGCAATGCATAACTGATTATTAAACTCCAGGGAGCTCCGCCGCGCCATCGACTAGCCGAAAAAAATTTAGAAAAATGATTAAAAAAGAAATAAGGTAGAAAAGAATCATGAATATGGCAGGTGAGGTATTTGATCTCGGGTCCTTAGATTGTTGTCAAGACGGCTTGCGCGCATGTGCATTACAGGCGCACGCCACAACGCATGGTTACCAAAATGTGGTATTCAGAATGTTAATAAACCAAAGCGAAACATATGTGACGTAGTTGACGTAGTTGACCAATCAGAACTCTCTATTATCACATCGGCAAAATTTACTACTATTTTTAATTATTCATGAACATGAGCGTGATCTTTTTTGGTTCCTGACTTTGGGACAGCGTAAAATATAATAATTTTGATATCATTGTAAAGAAAAATATATATGCTTTATGCTGATTATAACATCTTCTTGACGCAAGAATGATTTCTATGTGAAAATCAGCCCTACTCTTTAGATAGATTTATCGTCGAAAAACCCCATTTTCAAGGCGAAATATCTGTTTCCAAAATATATCTAACATGATTGTCATATGAGTATATAGAGAGTGCAACTTCTTATCTTTAAAATAAGACCCATTTCATGAGAAATGAACAATTATAAAGGCAAAAATTGCCGATCGGGAAGACCGTCTGCACTACTCATTACGTATGCAAGACGCGTAAATTCTTGCATACGTGCTGAATAAAATAGAGGGTTTTCGCACCGGCTGCGGTCTGACTGGGGGGGGGGGGGGGGGCGGGCATTTTGCGAACTGGCGAAGCAAGCGAGAGGTAATAGACAAAATAAAAATGTTATTTCCTGATCAAAACACACATTATCTTAAGATATGGAAACTACATATCAAATATTGACAAAAATGTTAATTCCTGATCAAAACTAGATTATCAGATATGGAACTACACGTAAAAACAAAAGAACATTTCTTTTGACAAAAAAGTCATTTCCTGACCAAGCACACATTATACGTTATAGAAACTACAAGCCAAATAAAGACCCTTTCTTATGACAATATCATAAATACAGAATGACAAATGACAGGATGACAAATATGTTATTTCCTGATCAAAACACACAAGATATTAAATATGGAAAATATAGGTCATATTTGTTCACCTTGCTGAGCTGACTGGATATGAGATAACAATACAGTTGCACAGATATTGGTACATGTATTAACAAATATCGGGAGGGGGAGGGGGTGTTCCACGGCCCCTGTGGCAGAGCCTCAATAGTACACTATCGCTCATAAAGGTGGAATATTTTAGTTTTACCCCAATTTATGGAATTATTTTAAAAATTATTTAAAAATAATAGATCTAGAAAATAGTATACATTTTCAGATTTTATTGAATAATAATTTGCTAATGTGTGTTTTGCGGGACTGCTAAAGCAAATGTATGCTACTATGCTTATTAACTAGGGGACTTACGCCCTCAAGTCATAAATGACAGTAATGAGGATTAATGCCCCACAAAAGGGCACTAATATAGCATAGCGACACGGTTTTTGATCCTGTGGCCTCACAGTTACGAGGCCATTGTTTTGTCACTGAACCATGACTGTACGCAGCGGGGGCTAGGGTAGGGGGCAGTTTCCAGAAATTAAAAAAAAGAAAAGAAAATGCAATAATTTTTCAATAATTAATTGCATTTTACCCCGGTCCCCAACATCAAAAAATCCTCTAGACGGCCATGCATTATGGCTCAAGGCATGGACAAACAGAAGATTTTTTTTATGTTGAGAACCGGGGTAAAATGCAATAAATTATTGAAAATTTATTGCATTTTCTATGTTTTTTTTATATTTATGGAAACTGCTCCCTACCCTAGCCCCCGCTGCGTAGAGTCATGGTTCAGTGACAAAGCAATAGCCTCGTAACTGTGAGGCCCCAGGATCAAGACCGTGTCGATGTGCTATATTAGTGCCCTTTTGCGGGGCAATAATCCTCATTACTGTCATTTATGACTTGATGGCGTAAGTCCCCTAGTTGATAAGCATAGTAGCATACACATGCTTTAGCAGTCACGCAAAACACACATTGGCAAATTATTGTTCAATTAAATCTGAGAATGTATACTATTATCTAGATCTATTATTTTTAAATTATTCTTAAAATAATTCCATAAATTGGAATATAAAAAAAATATTCCACCTTTATGAGCGACAGTGTACTCCTATTAATATACGAATTCGCATTTACATTTTAATTTATAAGTATATGCAACATCTCCAATGTATCTAATGCCCGTGACGGACAGACAATTCTATAGAGGTTAATAATCACGCATTCAGCGAATACAAGCACAGTCATTACGTAATAACGATGTCTTTTTCTTTTCTTATTCATTCGGAGTGGCAATCACCCATGATGGATACTTGCGTTCTATACCTGTACCCTGAAGAGAAAACAAAGCCCGGATCCACCGCATAAATGTAGAAATCAATACTAGAACGCCTCCAAAGTCGTTTTTTTTATTTGGCTATCAGTCGCTGACCATTCATTGCTCTGTGTCCAACCCATTGTACTGTCTTTTGACTTCGAACGATCGATGGAGAGAGAAAAAGAAGATACTCATCACAACGAAGGACCAGACTGCAAAGGGACGTAGAATCATGCCATACTTCAAGAAGCAAAAGAAGATATTTTTTGGATGATTGAATGATAAAAAGACGCGACGTAAATATCATGACTTGAAGGTAAGCAATTCTTTCGAATGTTTTTCATTTTTTAAAAGGAAGTGTTAATAAAAGTATATGATATCTTTAGAAATACTTGTAGGGCTTTGACGGAAAGTCTATTTCATTCAAACTTATGGACTATAATTATGTCTCGATAACCAGGAAAGTCAAAATGATAAATAAGCCTACTTTTACATGATAATGTTATAAGGTATTCGCGTGTTTCGGCATGTGGAGCATATATATATTTTGAAATAACTACGTTATTAAAAACAGGAATGCATCTCTTTAAACATATAAAACAGTTACCCTTTTGTCCTTAAATTTTACACAATGCTTTCAGTCAAAAAATGAAAAGAGGCAATATCTCTGTATGCACAGGAAACAGATATTTGTCTTAAATTTAACACGTTTTTCACATTAGATAGTGCAAAATTACCTTTAACAAATATTAGTTCCCGTTATCTGTCTATCTATGTTGTATATACATTTAAAATCATTTAAAGAATTCAATTTACATGGGATATGACTGAAGTGTTATACAAATTAGATATACATGCAATTTAGAATTACATATATTTTGTCCGATAAGGTGTACTGAAATTCTTGAAAAATACTATTTATTATAACATACATTATTTGTATGAGCCCATGAAAGGCCGATATAATAATTAATATGTATCGAATGGCATGGACAAGCTTGCATTGATTAAAGGCAATGATTAAAACAGAATCATGTATCAAGTCTTAATGACTATCTAAATCCAATCTTCCTTAATTAGGTAAATCGGTATAACGGCAATTTGTAGGTAAACAAGGAAAGTTGAATATTTACATTAAGTTCGCGTCTGGCAAAAAACAAACACTGCCTTCTTTTTGAGATTTCAAGAGCAATTTGTATAGACATTCGTAGGCTTGGACTACGCAAAGAAGCCCTAACGACGAGACCATTGTTAAGCCATAAGTGATAAGTAACTGTGTAATCCCGACTGGTGTCTTCTAGTGACGATCATGTACAGGGTGTCTAGAAACAAATAGAAGTGTTGCCATAAAAACACGATCGACTCAATGGAAATTGTATTAACCTTTTGTATATATCCTATACAAAAATACGCCACTGTATACAATGTCGCTCATTTTCTATTGACATTTCCCTAGGCTGAATTTGTACAGTATTTGCGAACGCGATTTTATAAGGGGCCTATATAGAAACAGTGGCGTAGCGTTGATTGAGGGGCACCTGTGTCATGGGAGGGGGCAGCGGTCTCACTAGTTGAATTAATTTGAGAGAGCAATACCATCGAGTCGAATAAGCTTTTCATGTCCCCTCCCCCTACTCCATTCCCCCCTCACTCTACTCATTTTTCTTTTTCATTCACCCTCTTCCAAACCTTACATGACCATACTGGGAATCTTACTTGACCATGTATTACAGCCTTTACGGGTAATTCGCAACAAATGTTTTCATGTATCGATCACAAATTACAAGCAGAGATTCCCTTAAAAATGTTCACAATAGGGTAGGAGGGGAGGAGAGAGAGAGAGAGAGAGGGGGGAGATATTGGTATTCAAATGTCCATCATCATGCGATGATATGATAAGTCCATAAACTTGGTTTGAACTATTTCGGGCAGATTTTCAAAATAGCATGCTGCTCAAGCGTCTCGCTCATTATCTCTTTTTCCACAAAATATTTTGCCAAACGGTTCGTCATTGAAGGATTTCCTATAACAAAAAGACCTTAGGTATCAGATACAGATAGTCTTAAGAAACCATACATGCATGGTTAATCTTCCAATACCATTGAGCAATTTGTCAAGATGGATGAACAAAAATAAATCAAAGAAAAGACTGCATACCTACGATTATCTGCCTTCTACTACACAATAGTAACCATTGGCAACTGCAGACGCATTTTGTCAAGAGCGGGCTTTTTGTTTAAAAAGAGTTGTTTGAAAATAAACCCTGTTTTGTTTAGTACAAATGTTGATATTGACGTGGCTGGGGGAGAGAGGGAGGGAGGAAGGGGGGGGGGGGGGCTCAAAAATACAATCGTGAAAAAAGGGAAGAGAGAGAAGATAAGAGAGCGCGGGTCCTTTGTACTTTTCGGACGGGATGTATTTTTACCCAGATCAACCAAAATAACAAGGGAGTGAGAAAAAAAAAACTAATATAATCATCGTTGTAGTCTTCTCCTACCCACATCATTAGCACATGAAATAAGAAAAGACACACACACACACACACACACACACACACACACACACACACGCACAAGGATTTTTGTTTCCATGTACCTGGCGGAATGCTATTAGGGAAATAGTGTAAAGTTTCTTTGGAATTTTTTTAGAGTAAAATGATTATGTTGGTAATGCTGGAAGAGTTATTTTTTAGATAGGTCTATATACTAATATGAAGACGGAAAAGGAGAAGGATAGAAGAACTCGAACTGATTTTAGGGTGTAAGTTCCACTTTGCAATTTATTGGTTTAATTCATGAGCTATCTAACAATTCCATCTATATAGATAAGAACCGAACCAATATCAAATTGAAATCAATAATTACCTTAATACACAAGTCATACATGCTAAATGAACTGGAGTACTCACGGAGTCACAATGTTTACTTAGCTGAGAGTCTATATTTAATTAACGTCACCGCTTGTTTTTTTATTTATCATTGCAGGAGACAGAGTGTACCTTACCCGAAAAGGTAAATACTGATTGTGGAAACAGAATACACAAAGAACAGTTATCCGCGTCAAGAAGCCGATCTCAAGGAGATAACAACCAGTGTAAGGAACGTGTTAGCCTGAGATTTGAAGGGGTTGTATGCAGACACTAATTAGTGGAGACATCTAAAAAATAAATATTTGTTTTACATTCAATTCGAATGACGAGAAAATAACACCAAAGGTGATAAAATAGGCCTACGTGAAAGATTGCATGCATGGTTGGAGTTTCGCCTTGTGAACTAGTTCTTGGACAAGACACTAAGCATGGGTTTTAACATCAAGTTCGTGGTTGGTCCTGTGTCTAGGGATCTGATATGTCCCTTGTGTCGAGGAGTTCTGGTAGATCCGATGATGATGCATCCTTGTCAACACACCGTCTGTTCTTCCTGCCTCAAAGCGCTCAGACCTGTCCCTAAACTCCTGAAGTCGTGTCCATTCTGCAGGAGCCCGCTCTTTGATGAACCATCCTTGGCCCCAGGGAACCTCATCGGTCGTCTGTTGAAACTCATCGTCAAGTGCCACCGGGAATGCGGCCATCGGTGCGAACTCAGCGCCCTTCCCGATCACGTCCTCAACGAATGCAAGTTCGGGACGGTCGACTGCCTGAACAAGGTCAGAGGTTGCCATAAAGAGATGACGCGCAAGAAGCTGGACGCGCACGTCGCCGAGTGCGATTTTAGATTGGTGACCTGCGAGGGATGCAACGCGGAGATGGTGTATTCGCGGCTCCCAATGCATCAAAAGCGGCGACGCTGCGTCGAGGGAAAGCTGATGACGCAGCGCGCTCGGAGCGCGGCGACTGCCTTGAAGCAGGTACGTGAACATCAAGAACAGGTGAGAAAAGAAGCCATTACCCTCGAAGGGCAGTTGACGAGACTCCGCTCCAGCAAACTCGAGGCGAGAAGTAGACTGAGGTCGGCACCACCCCGAATATCACTTCTCTCCGAGGCCCCATCGTCCAAGTCAAGACCGAATTCATCCCGTAGTTCGATCAGTACAATATCTCTATCATCATCATCAACATCAAACAAAAGCCCGAGATCCCGTAGCCCCAAAGTTAACGTTTTCATTACTGATACAACATCATTTGATGTGATTCCTCTCGACCTTAAAAACACGACATCGACAACTTCCTCGTCATCATCTCTTTCCTCTCTTCGGCAAGCATCATCAGAACACGAACATGACCTGAACGAACCAATGGACGCTGCTTCGGAGAGTATCGGAGATCATCGGGAGCCCATTTCTTCATTAAGCGTGGTCCGTCACCAAAGCAACCGTTCAGAGAAGACAGAACTGTGCAAGAGATGTGAAAAGTCGTTCAATCCCGCCAAGAATAACGATAGGGCATGCAGATGGCACAGAGGAGTGAGTAATGCAATTTAAAAAAAAAAAAAGAAGCTTATCTGTACTAGTTTATAGGAGGGATTAGACCGCCCTGCAAGGTTACTGGACAGGTGGTTTTCTCATCAACTTAGTTCTCAATTAACATAAGAAAAAGAGGATCATGGGGGACCAGTGGTCACCGATTAGGCATTGTTTTCTATATAGAGGGAGCAAGAGCTACAAGTAGGACAGTGTATGTTGTGTATAATCAACGAAGGTTTAAGCAATTTTCAAGTTATGACCAATCTATCTGCAAATTTTGCCCCATAGACTACCCCTTCTTGCACTGCCTTTGGCATTGTTATAATATAGTTTAATAGGAACACAGGGGGTCACTCCCAACAAGACTGGCTACGCACCCGCGTCCAGAAAAAGCGTCGAAAGGGTGTCTTTTTTTTAGCTATACGGCGGCGTCGACGTTTTCCTTAAAAAGGGGTAGTTTTCAAGCACTGATTGCACACAAACCAAAAAAGGGTCCCTTTTCAAGTTCACAGGTTTCGACGTTTTCTTTAAATAAAAAAGGGTCCGACAGAGGCTGATGGATACGGGTGGGTAGAGCATTTGTGTATGAGAGTGACCCCCTGGGATTAGGAACTCCTAGTACGTGTTGTACCCATTGCTATATTTGTAATGATCAAACTTCACCCTATAAAAGGACTCACTGTGCGAAATAGTAATAATAATAATAATAATAATAATAATGATAATTGTAATGATAATAATTATAATAATAATAATAATAATAAGAATAATAATGATAATTGTAATTTCTATAATAATAATACAAATAACACTACTACTACTACTACTACTACTACTACTACTACTACTACTACTACTAATACTACTATTATTACTACTACTACTACTACTACTACTACTACTACCACTACTACTAAAAATTGCAGTCATCATGAACTTAATAACGGCTGTGGATCTCACCTAATTCTTGTATTTCTTTTTTCCCTGGTTTTTATGCTCAAACTTTGAATTTGATAGCAAATCGTAATTTCAGTTTCGTTCTTTCTATTTCCTCCACCCGCTCACTTTGGCCCCCGCCTGTTTCTTCTCGACAATCAAAACATATAGCCGGTAAGTCAATTCAATTCAATTCTTAAATTCAATTGTTTTTTTTACTCATCCAAATTCACAAGAATACGTGAAAATTTGTTTTGGTCACACATTATAAATAGAACAACCATCAAAATAAAAGATAGACAACATAGAAATATTCTTATATTCAAGTACGTTACACAATAAGGGGGGGGGGGGAGGGGGTACTCGCCTAATACAGTATACGGGGATGTGCCGCTCTAATTGGTTACTTTTTTGCCAAAAAATCCCTTAACATGGGGACGGGTATGATTTTGGGCTGCAAAATCCTTATGAGTGTCCCCACTTTTCAGATCTTAAACTTAAACATGGGTTAACTATATGATCAGGATAATAATCTCGCTAAAGTGAAAATTCCAGATGCAAAACCCGCAAAAATAATTGAAATCATTTCGCTTTTTCATCCGAAATCCTTGCCGATGGTCGCAAAACCTTAAACATGGTTTGCGTGTTGAATGGAAGTCCCTAATAATAGTTATCATTTTCTGCCCAAAGATTAGACGCTTCAGCCGCACACCCCCGTCCAAACCAATCTTAACCCCCCCCCCCGTGGATTTTCTCCAACAAAAACTATTGGAAAAAGGAGAGACCATGATAAGCATAAGATAAAATATAATAAGAGATTGATAGACACCCACAAACACACGCGCACACATATTATTGGTATTCTTTTAGATGTGATTTTTTTATAAAATTGAATTATAAACTCCATAGTAAGGGTTTTAAAGGATCATGAAATTAATATAGTCTTCAAATTGGCGCTTTTCACATATTCAATGTTCTCTAATATAATATTATGTAGTTTTTTACCTATTCTTTCGCTTTCGTATTGCTTAAACTTCTCCCTAATTATTCTTTTTCACGCTTCTTTGACCCCTGTTTACATCAAACCTGTCTCCGTCGACGCTTGCTTGTTTTTCTACATCACATTGAGCAGATCGTAAGTATTGATTAAATCACTTGTTTGTCTTCCCATTAGACCTTAGATGATGGCCCGGATTTTTTATTTAGCCTTCGGAGTCTTTTATCGACCCAAATTCCTCAAATTGACAACATCTTAGATTTGTGTCACCTGATTAAAGTCTCATTCAAATGTCATCTCATGTCATCCCGCTTTTGTTTTCTTCTTATAAAAGAAGCTTGTTGCGACTCCTCTGCCATTATCATTATGTTAACGTTTCTTTTGAAGTATATGATTTGATTAATGACCATTCTTTTGTGTGTTTTAAGTCAGCCTCATCATAAATTTAACTTGTGATTTTGCCATAATTGCGTATTGACTACTGCACAAACATCCACTATTTTGCCTTACGGTCTTCGCTTAAAAAGGATAGAGCTTTTGGAATGAACTCTTGAATAAAATAAAATAAATTCGTTGAATTTTAAAAGATGAACAATCCACGCACCTGGGCTCAAATGAATTCAACTCTGCCTCTTTTTTCCTCTTTGTCCTTATTTGACTTTTCGTGGATTCAGGTGAACTTATTTGTGAGTATCATGGTTTATTTCACTTTATAATCATCCGTTTTTATATCTATGAGCAAGATTGCCAGAAAGGAAAGACGAAGAAAGAAAGATTGAATGAAAGAAAAATTGAATAGATCTTTAAAATGTACATAAGATCAAGACAGCAGTGCAAGCAAGCATTTTTTTCTTCAATTTGTAAATTATGAAGACAATATTGATCATTGCAGCACAGTTTGGATTTCATGGATATGGCCATATGTGATAAGTTGTACTGTTTTTTTAACAAGCTGTTTTGAATTTGCCAATTTTAGGTCACCAAAGAATGAATATCCCTTCAAAGCGAAATCAAAAATATTTTGATAATGTAAAAAATGCGACGTCATAAATATTGTGAATATTGTTCCATTTTGAGCAAACTTGGGATCTCTTGAGTATAATCGTAAACATTATGTAATCAACATTGCCTTCATTGATTATTGTTTGTTTTCCTTTTCTTTGGTCTATTCTACGGATGGATGCAGGGGGTAAGTAAAGACGCTGCAAGACAATCAATATACATAGATGTGATTTTCATGAACTATAAAGTTCCAGTTTCAAACACAAACCGACTCGTTTATTCTACCCGTTTCGAATCGTTATGAAAAATATTGTGTGGTTATAGACACTTTAAGAAGAGATACTACTTTAATATTATTGCTTATTTAGATACGTTTTGATGAAAAGAAAGCTGAATTGAAAAGCTAACTCAAATGAGCATTATTTAATTAAACATGAGTTGTTCTATTAACTGTCAGGATAGGATAATGACAATATAAATATGAAATGGTGAGTCTATATGACTGTGTACATTTTTGTAGCAAAATACATTTAAATATACTATATGGTACGAAACATTTCTTTCCAATTGGATAGTGTAAAATTTTCTAGTGAATGATTACTTTTCATTTCAGGTAACAAATAATCTTTTTCGCTAACTTAACAAAAATTCATTTTCTTTCTTTCTTCATATTCTCTGGATTCAATAACCTCTCGAATAGGGGGTGAGTACTTCTAACACACATTCCTTACATTAATGTAGATAATGCATTTAAACGTTTACAAAAAAAATATAAAAATTATATCAAAGGTCAGAGGTTTTTACAATGTTTTTTATCCTTCATTTTATCAAAAGAATTTAGCAATAAGAATGCAGAGAGAGAGAGAGAGAGAGAAAGAGAGAGAGAGAGAGAGAGAGAGAGAGAGAGGGGGGGGGGGGGGGGGTACGAGAAAGAGAATTGCAACGAAAATCAGATCATGACCCCCTTTATAATTGCCGGGATAATAATTGCCTGAATATTGGAATTCATAATTCTCGTGAAGGAGGTAGGGGGAGGGATTACCGTCTCGTTGATGCCTACAATCACTGTAGTGACAATACATGAATATGATTAAAATATCTGGTTTTTCTCTTTTGGCAGACGTGCATGATATGCGGACAGCTGAATTTCAAGAGAGGGTGCGTCACAGGATATCATCTTATTTCATCATAGCTAGAGTCCGGAGAATCTTCGATTTGGATGCATATGAACACAATATTGGTATAAGGGCGTGGCGACAGAAGCGTAAGAGGGGTGTGACATCCACATTCCAAATTTCATCAGCAAACATCAATTTAGCCAGCCTTCAGCAATAATATTATTTTAAACGGTCCAAAAATTAATGTTCTACAAGCTTAGTCAGCAAATTTGGTCCATCTAACGTGGCAGAAGTGGGTATTTTTGTTGTTGTTGTTGTTGTTAACTTCTCTATGATGAAATTGCCTGTATTTCAGCCTTGTTGAAAACAATGTCAAAATGCTATTTTCTGTAGGATTTGAATGATGAAATCAGAATCTTTTGATTGGGGCGAGTGAAATACTTGCTCCATTTGGACTTTCACCCCTTTCCAACTGGTAACATAGAACCCTAAATTGAGCTACATTTTGCTTAGTTTAGTAGTTGAACAGCACCATACAATAATGTACTGAATATGTCCCTGAAGGCATACCGATTAAGGTGTTTAATTTACTCAGTTTCACTGGATATAGGAAACTCTTATAAAAATTGAAATTTGTCAATAATGAACATAATGCTGCATTTTGTAAGTACCTAAACATTTTCTATATTTAATCATTTATTTATTTAATTGGTGTGGATTTAAAAAAAAAACTGTGTGGTTGCTGGTGTAATATGAAACGCAAGTTTGGTTTCTTTATTCAATATTATAATTACAATAACTTTGAAACAATCATCTCACAGGCAATTTTATTACCTTGTTGTATTCATACAGAAATTGTCTTCAAGTTATTAAAGCCTATTGCACTAATAGCACATTTCATAAGTGATTCTAAAGAGCTATTGAACCTTGTCACTGGCTGACTCTCAGGAAATTTTCATGTTATGATATCAAAATTCAAATGATGAGCAAACTGACAATGTATTATGGGGCCTATTGGGTATGTGCAGTCAAATCCATCTCTAATAATCAAACCCAGTTTGAATTTCAGTCAACCAGAATTACATGACTTGCATTGATTTAGTTTTATTATATTTTTGCACTGTGATGTCGTGATCGATCAAAAGTTGTGTGGAAGAGGCCCCCCCTCCTCAAATTGGTATTGGTATAATCATTTTGAATGACAAGAGTTATGAAAACAAACCAACAACCATAAAAGATAAATATTCTTGATACATGGATTACTAATAAAATGTTTAAGTTTATTGCATACATCTATCCATCATTTCAATATGAAGTATAAAAAAACAAATATGAATGCATTTCTTTTACCAAAAAACCCCACAAGTCACAACTCTAAATTGCTTTGAAAGCTAGAAGTTTACTGTTTGTAATAATGCTCTCATCCAGGTCTTCATGACTGATAAAAATCACTTAATCATCACACATAATAGTAGCTGGCTGTATGCCAACAGAAAGAAGAAGAAAAAAACGTATGAATACAATAACAATTGTGTACATCATACAACTTCTGCAGACATTGCCAACTACTGGCAATTTTCAGTAAATAACCTACATATAGCAACTGTCACTATGTTGACATAAATCTAAGTGCTATCCGGCCAAAATAACTTTGACTTGGCTGGAAGACAACAATCTAAGGAACTTGCAAAATGTAAAGAGGTTCCAATTACAAGAATTTATCCTCCTCCCCCCCAACAAAAATATAAAGGCCTACAGTGTAGTGAGATAAAAATATGTTTATAGTTTGATTTTATTTGTCATTATCTAAGTGCTAAGTGCATGTATAATTAAAACGAGTAAAACATGAAATGTAAAATGATGCACACTTACACATTCAATAGTTATAAAAATGTATACATCTCTTTGATACAAATGGTTTTCTTTGGTTACATCAATGGTCAAGGAAACATGTGAAAAGTCCTAGTAATGATGAAGAAAAAAAGAGGCAATTCTGAGAATATCTGTCAAGGTTCATATAAACATGTATTTTTGAAGGAATTCATTGTGTGTTTCAAAGCCCTACTTATAGCTACTTGCGCCCTCTATATAACAAACAATGCCTAATCGGTGACCATTCGTCCCCCATGATCCTCTTTTTCTTATGTTAATTGAGAGCTGATTTGATGAGATAACAACCTGTCCGGTGACCTTGCAGGGTGGTCTAATCACCCCTGTACACTAGTACTGATTGGCTTGAAATAGTATGTGTAATAATGGTCAGATGCAATCATATCAGTGACTCATGACTTGATTACTATTGTCTGCAGGTTTATCTTATAACACCAATAACATATTCAATAAAAATTGAAATTAAAGGAATTTTAAAGTTAAAAATAGCTCCAAGATATCAATCGATTACTATGAAATATCATCACTGTGAAGAAATTATGAAATAACATTCCTTTCAAGTATACACATTCTTGATGTACTCCATTGTATTTATTTTTAGTGATGATTTATAAATAGACTGCCTGTTAAATATTGAATTTAGAATGTCTGTTTGTCAGAATTATATGATTTATGAAATAAAATATATTTAATAGTCAACACCTTATATTTGCATTGCTTCATTATTCCACTTTAAAAGGAACATACCAACAACATTAAATGCAGTTAAAAATTGTATCTCAGAAAGAAGTAAGGTATTTGAAAGTCAAAATCTGCAATTTCCTTTCCATGATCTCAAAGTTGATACAGGGTTCTTACCTGTATAAAACATCCTTGGTGCAAAAACTGAGTATGGAGGACTTCAGAAGGAAAAAAAATTGATGAAAAAGTAATGAATATTGGAAATGCATACTTTTAGCATTTAAGATAGTAAGGCTTTTCTAAACCATTCCCCAGTGATGCTGCAACTGCGTGGAGTCCAGGACTCTCTTGCATCAAACTTGTTATCGATAACAAATCAAAACATTCTATAACAAAATTTGCTCTCAGCCAATCAAATGTCATGATTTCAGTAGCTTATAACAGGTATTATAAATTGTTATTGATAACAAGTTTTATGAAACAAGGCCCAGTTCTTCATCAGGGTGTTCAAATGCAAGCTTTGAAATGGAAGTTTGACTTCTTACAAATCCATTATCAATTAGATATATCATCTTGGCCTGGTCAATCCAATAGGCAATTATGGAGCAAAAGTGGGTGTTATTGGATTTCGGCAAGGAATTAGGAGTTGACATAGTGGAGACGTAATTCCTTGAATTTCCAAAAGATGCGCGACACAAACTGAAGAACGATGCATTCAACTTCGAAGATGACAAGGACGTCACCTACAGCAACACCAACAATGTCAATAAGATTAAGAAGAAGAAAGGACAAGCAGCTACAGTGCCACCGACACGTTATCCGCCCACTGTTCTGTAGTTTGGGGACAGCAAGGCAGAGCTCAAAACACCTCTTGAGAGAGCACTCTTTGGAAAAGATATTAAAGCAACACACAGTCCTCTCGGGAGAGGAAAGAGAGCCACGATAAGGAGCACAAGGCTCGCTTGAATATGATGAGGGCCCAGCCCCCAAAAGAGAGACTAGGAGAAGGAAAAGACGATAGCTGCCAAAGAAAAGGCAAATGCGGAGAGCATCATGGAGCGGCTCATGGAGAAAAAGAAATCGGCTGAGCCCAGGGTGGAGCCTACATGTGGCCTCAGCAGCCACAAGAGCTTAGAGGAGGAAAACAAAGCACTCAGGTGCTCTATTGCCATCATAAAAGAGTTGCCTACTTTACTTCAGGCAATTAGAAGCTCTAGCCCCAGCCCCAGCCCCAGCCCCAGCCCCAGCAGCAGGCCCAGTGCTAGCTCATTAAGCCCCATCCCGAGTGCCAGCCACAGCCCCATCCCAGGTGCCAGTCCTTGCCCCAGCCCCATACCATTGAAGCCCAAATGTAGTGGAGAACCTCGGGCATTTGTCACATTACAGAAAGACCTGAACACATCGTCTGGAGACTCTTTGATTAGCAAGGATGAGGTTGCCGTCCTTGCTTCTAGTAATCCAAGGGCCATGGTTAATGATATAATGCTGAAGGTGTTCGGGAAGGAAGTGCTGGTTGCACATTCCCTATTAGGAACCAAATGCAACTTGCACAAGGAAGCCGAAGCACAGAGGCCAGCCCTTCCAGCAGCGAAAGTTAAAGCCATTCGAGACTTTGTTAGAGCTTCATTTCCAGGGTATACTGAGGCTCTCTTCAATAAGCATGCCAGCGAAAAGATGTCAAACTTGAGGAAGAATGTGAAGAAGAAAACTGTTCTGCATGAGACAGGAGGGGTCTGTAAGTGGTTATCGATGTGGCACATATCCAAGTTCTCCATAGACCTTATTCTTGCACACCCTGGCCGGCATTGCTCCATCCGATGTCCGCAGAAAAGTTGCACGTAGGACTGAACGCAGCAGACAAGTTGAGGACACCCGCCATCCCCTTTACTCCCATCAACCGGCCCCTACCCGCCTGAAGTCAAGGAAGAGCTTCCTTCATACAGTCCAGCCACTGTCACAACCTCCTCATTCAACCAGAGTGATCTTGTGGGAAGAGAAACGTTGTGAAAACCACCACCATGAAAAGCTACCAATCCCGACCAAGGAACAGCTGCCCCCTGGCCATACATGTGAATGAAAGACGTGGAAGTCCCTCAATAGGCTTCGCACAGGGGTGGGGCGATGTAAATACAACATGCATAAATGGGGATACACTGACGACACAGACACCAACTGCGAGTGTGGAACATCCGTGCAAATCCATGTCACACTTATTAAGATGCCCACTCCTAAATGACCAATGCTGCCTGTAAAACCTAGTGGCAGCAAATGAGAAGGCTCTTCAGTGTGCCAAAGCCTGGCAGAGCATTTGAGGTCAGATGGTGGACACGAACAAAGAATACAAAGTGTATATATCCTTTTCTTGAACATGATATTATTTTTTGTTGTTGCTTGATAAATCTTTATAGATATTTATCACAATTATGAAATTTTAGATGGTTACCATTTCGTTTTTTTTCTTCATTTTTCATTTGAGTTTTGAGTTTTTGATCGATCGGGTGGGTGGTACATACACAACGTTACTTATTATAGGCTCGGTATAAGCTTGGCTTGTTTGAACTCTTGTGAGTAATGTGCCGCGGGATTCCATATCCTCAAACTGCTGGTGAACAGAGCAACAAGACCAAGCTCTGTAATTATTAGGATCTGTCCAGTAGTGCCGTGTTTGTGCCATCTAACTGGATCGACCAAATCAATTGATTCATAATATATATATATATATATATATATATATAATATTTTTTCCTGTAACATAAGAGTAATTTTAATAGTTTCATACTATTAATTAAATGTAATGTTAATTGTTATTGTGTAATTGTTTTAAATGGGGGCACGCTACAAGACTCCTATCTCGCACCCCGGGGCAACGTGTCTGACACGGCCGGTTGTATAGCAACTACTCCGAAGATCAAGATACATTAATCTTGATCTAAGGAGACACGAACGAACGAACGAATGCAAGCTCCAGCAACAACTGCCCTGGGGTTTATAACATCAAATGTGTAAGGTTATAGTTAGAACTAGGACTGTAATTTTGTCTTAGGTTAGGTTAAGGGATAGGTTTAAGTGTTTGCTCTAGGTTTGAAGTCAGAAATCAGCTGGGCTCCAGTTTCATAAAATTTGTCATCAATAACACGTGTCACATTTCTTTTACAAATTTCCTCTCAGCCAATCACATGCAATGATTTCAGTAGCTTTCAACAGTTATGGCAAGTTGTTATTGATAACAAGTTTTATGAAACGAGGCCCAGATTCCTAACTTCAACCCTAGACCAAACACTGTACCTATCCCTAAACGTTGGTTTGTATAGGGAGATGAAGAACGGAGCATTGGTCATAGTCCTGAGCATAATTTATAGAATCCTCTGTGGGGTCTAATTTGAATGAAAGACTTCTATAAAATGGCTGTAGGCCTACACATGCACAATCATTTCTAATGGCCATAATCAGTATCAGAGATTTGTGATACACAAACACAATCTTACACACTAAAAAAATGATGAGGTAATCAATAACGGTAGAATCTTATTTCAATGAAGTTCTCTGTTACGCTGTTCACACAGTGTTAACCACATTAAAACACTGCTTGGTCAAAACTGTACACCTACATGTAGATGATTGATGAGAGACCGCTCTACTGCATAATGGCCCTTAATTTTTGCATGTATTAATGAGACAGAAATGTGAGGTGCACTATGCTTAATTCACTTAATTTTCATTTCCAGATTTTGGTCTTTTAAGTACATTATCAGTAAAAGTTTGAAATAAATCAAATAAATCCTGTCAAAGCTCTTCTGTAACAGAGTAAAGAAATTTAAGAAGTATATACAGGTAAAAAGCTGCAGACTTGGTTTGGAGTTATGCGTTAAATCACTGTGATCCTTTGCAATAAATTTCAACATGGGCAAAACACAAAAAAAGTTTGAAAACTGTTGCAGGATACCATACCCTACTGTACATAAATATTACAAAATTGAAGAAGTGATATTACAACACAAAAAGTTTGAGGATGGGTAACCTTGAGACAAAGTCAGTATATAAGTGTGATTATCGGTGCAATTTTTTTCCTTCATCACAGATAAACATTATCATTGGAATGTAGCACAAGTGAGAATATATTTAGCCTAGCTCTCAGGCAAAATTAGCTATTCCTCAGTTATGGATGAAAACAAATGTGGCACAGTATGTAGACTTTTGTTAATTTCTTCTCAATGAGAGGAGAGAAGAGAACACTTTGACTATGAAACAAAATCAATGATGTAGAGTGCATTTAGGCAAATACAGATTGCCTTTCAGCTGATGACAATCCATTAGACTGCTCACCCTGTTGAGGAATGTATTTCAGTTCTGAGTCCATCTCAGAGTGAAGACTTGTGTCATGAGCTACATTGTGGAGAAGAAGAGACAGAAGACAAAAAGAGATTAATGATGAAGCATGTGAAAGTATTTCTTGTTTGTATACAGATAAGATTTTCAGACCATGGGCTTTGTGGTGGCATTCTGGTTCCTTGCTGATTTTGACATTCCTGGAGAAACCTTCATGCAAGTAATCATGATATCATAGCTATTCTTTTTTTTACATTACCTTTTTCTTTAGAATGATTAAAGTTAAAAGATTAATTTGGAAAAATGCTTTTTAAACTACTTATGATAGATAAGGACTGTCAAAATGTGTCATGTTCTGGTGGGTCACACAACTTAAATATAAAGACAGCAGGGTATTCTACACTTTGGCAAGATATTAACCTGCACTTGCTACACTCCACCCAGGTGTTAGGTTGGTACCCGGTAGGATGCAACTGTTATTGTTGGTCAAACAGTTTTTGAGCGACAAGTAAGGCCTGGCTGGAATGCTCCCCAGGGAGTGGAGATTGTGCACACAGTGTGTGCGGCAAGCACTGAATCCAATGACCGGGGTAATAGTATATCTGTAAAGCGCTTAGACTAGAGACATTGTATTAAGCGCTTTATAAAAACAGAATATTATCATCATTATTACACTACAAAATTATGAGCATCATCCATCAGTAATAATTTTTAGCTGATCTCTGACTGGAAGACTAAAACAAACTGTCCAACTTATATTTAAATGTTGTTGTTTTGGAACCTCAATCAGGCAGGTTTCTAATGATATTCTAGTAACATTTCTGATCGAAATGCAACTTCCCTTTTTTCAACATTTCATTCATAGTTGCTTCATTAAGTGGGTTTAGGTCATTGAATGCTTATCTTACCTTTGTATCTCAGCACTTTGGTCCAGCTCTTCTAGGTTGTACTCCAGGTATTTGTCCATGCCCTCAAACTTGAAATAACCTTTGAACTTTGACCCCTTCAGCATTAATGGGAACCACAGGACATCATCAGGCCACATGGTATGGAAGGGAATGGAATCTACATCAAACCACTGCGGTCTCATCTCTGTCGATACACAAATAAAATATGGTAAAATACTGAAATGTTATTTATACATCAATCCAACTTTAGTACTCAATGGTCACATTCATAAAGAGTCAAAGAGGGGTTTGTGAAGTCAAATAAAAAAAAACGATGTAACAAAACATTGTCAAAGCCCATTCATTGCCCAGAGGTTATCTCTTACCCTAAGAAATGTATAGTTGAATGGGAGTTGAAAGGATGCCCATGATGCGCCCCCTTTCCTCTTTGATACATATATACAGTACATGGGTCATATTAGGATATAACAATACCTGCACTTGAAAGAATTGAGAAGAAACATAGCAATGAACACAAAAATAAGGAATATAAAAAGTGATTGAAAAAAAAGAGAAGCACAAATTCAGCTTTTTGAAGGATACCTAAATTTGACAAACATCCTAAAAGGTCAAAGTATGACAAACCTTCTGTTTCAGCTGGCTCTCCTTCAAACTCGGTTGCTTTGAAGACATGTACTTCCATGATCTGTGGTTCACCAACAAACTCAAAGTCTATGCGTCCAATGTGCTTCATGTCTGGTGCCCTGACACAACTTTCTTCAAGCAATTCTCTGAAGAGGAACAATATTGTCAAAAGTGTGGTTCAGCAAATTACTATAGAATCTAATGAACAGGCTGCCAACTTTTTTGGAACACTTTCAAGAAAAATAAAATAGTTTATACAAACCTTTTAAGCCGTTTATATCAACCTTTTAAGAGGAACATGGAGTTTCAAAGAATCTATGTTGAGTGCATTCAAAATTCTTATTCCTTTGATCTTGGTTGGTAATATATTTGTTTTACCCGACTGCCAAGAAAGCATAGATGTGCTAGTAAATAAGCAACCAGGAGACAGACGGCTTCAAGTCCTCCCTGAGAGTCGTATTTGGTAACGCGGATTAATGCCTCACCAAAGCCCACTAGTGTATTAACTATCAACTTGATTTTGAACCAGGGACTTTCACATTACAAGACCACTTCTCCACCACTGAGATATCGCGCCTCTATCAAGTTGTAGGAGGCATTAGACTTCATTAAAATTCCACATTACTGATACTTCTTCATAATTTTGTAGCAAATGCCAATTCAAACGGGAAATGGTAAGCTAGGATGGCATCAACTAATTTTATCCACAGATTATTCAGGATTGGACAAAAAGCTTCTTCAGGTTCAAACAGCCTGAGGTATTAAACCTGGGGGGGGGGGGCACCCCTGTAATTTGTATGGGGAGGTATTATTATTTGCAGGGTTGGACCACTCTAGTATAATAAAGCTTGAAACAAAGTAAATGCACCCAGTGTCTACAGTTTTGAAATTGGTGTGAACAAGTACTGGAGAAGTGAACCTGCCGAGTTCAAATTCGACACCAACCTACCCAGTCATGATCCAGCCAATTTAACACGAAGAAGGAATTTGGAATTGAATATGGTAGCTTAAGCCTGCATTCAGAAGAATCCATAAATATCCATGAGAAACATGCTCAAATTTAGGTTATTGGGAGGATTACATTCTCTTAAAAAGCTAGTACAATATCTCTAAGATACAAGAGTTGACTACAAAAAGTTTAAAAGCTTCAAGATAAAGCTACTGAACCCTAAAAGTTACAATACTCAATACTTACCTCTCTGCTCCCTCTAAGATGGTTTCCCCTGGTTGCACCTTCCCACCAAAGCCGTTCCATCTCCCGACACCAAACCCTCGTTTCTTCATCCCAAGCAGGAGCCGGGTGTTCTGATGGATCAACACAAGGGTCAAGAGTTTGTTTGGAACACTCATGATGATGGTAACTCCTTGATCAATCAGCTGGCAGCTGGCTGGCCCAAGACTAGACTCGATCTGTAGTGAAGACTGTAGACATCGTTACAGAAAAGGTAATGCAGTGTCAGAATATTTCAGAGGACAAAATACAGGGTCATTATGATTGTTTTCACAAAAATTCTATAGAAAATTCCAAAGAAGCTTTTTGTATCAAAGTACTAATCCAGCCAACAAAAAGTATTACAAGCCGAGCTCAACCAGGCCAAGGCCAAAGTCCAAGACAAGGAGAGTCTCATGTCGACGCGAGACGCGGGCAGCTTGGGCGGGGGATCTCATCCAATTTTCAGTATAAATAATCTCGCGTGAATACGTGTGTTGGTGAGGTTATGAGACGAAGCCTGCACAAAATTAACATATATACCAGGCCATGTATTAGGTTAATTTACATTTCTCTATCTGAAATCTACATCTTTTGTATGAAACATACATGGTGTTTAGAAGTAGATAAAATTTACCTTCTTTGCTGTGCCACAGACTGTGCTCGTTTGTTTTGATTCATCACGCGGCGATTTTAGCTAGTCTTATTTCATTTTTTTAATTGGTATAAACTAAACTGTCGATGAATTTCTTCTTAATATCAATAAAATTTGCATTAAAAGGTTTGAAATATCATTTTCATTTTATTATTCTATTTTTTGTCGTTTCTATGAATGATTACAGCCAAATAACCATTAGGAATCAATTAAAGATAGCTGAACACAAGACTAGTACGAAGGACCTGTCGGCATTTTATTTGGTTTGTTTATTTTTTGAAAATCACACTTTTCATTCATTAATTGACATTTATACTTGATATAGTAAAGTATTAATCTTGATCAGGTAGATAAGTTTCTGAAATAAGTTTGATATGAATGCTGGTATATTTCATTAACGTAAATTAGGCGTGAATATGATGTTCTATGATCTGTAATGCTACCATTTTCTTAATCCTTGTCCCGCGTATTCATGTGCACGTTGTGTTTTTATGTGTAGCCTAGGTCTTAATAGGTCTGGTGGCTTTGATGAAATATAGACTTGAGTATTGCTAGCCAGTTTGTATCGAAATATAATAATTTAAGGTGAATCTTAAAGCATTTAATACCAGTTTAAAGATTATGATGGGTAGTAATGCGTAGATGTCTATTCTTAATTTAAAGAGAAGGTTGACTTGAGAACTGGGAAGAGGTGAAATATTATTTGTGAGCAATAACATTGTTACTATTATGCAAGTGTGGAAGAACATCAAAGAAAAAATATTCCCTGAAAAGCATGGCTCCTGAAATGACTTCATATTCTAAATATGACAAGTATCAGCTTAAAAATGCCAGATTTTTGTGGTACATGTTTTTGTAGTCAATATAAATCCTTCTGTGTAAATGATTATCTACTATGTGCTTGTTACTTTACTAAACTCTTGATCTGTAAAAATATTGGTTTAAACAATATTTAATCTATTTATTATTTCCAGCTTATTCAAGTGATGCAGCGACTTTACCCATCTGATGTTGAGAACGTTAATTGGACGGGGGATAAGGGTAGCCAGACTCTATCCACATCTACCTAAGACAACACACAACACTTTGTTAACAGCACACAGCAGAGCAAAGCCTATGTAAGATTGGGTAATTTCATCAGTAATGGCGATTAAAGACTGATTTTTGTGGTGGTGACATTGTTTTAGCAGAGCAAGACCTTAGTAAGATTGGGTAATGTCATTATGAATGGCGATTAAAGACTGATTTAAATTGTGGTGGTGGCATTGTTTTTAGGAGACAGTGGTGATACTCTAGGTTAAGAGTGTTAGTGACAGTATTGCTTGAAAGAAAGAAGATATGAACACCAAGTTAAAACCAAAGTCTATGGAATAATACATGCAGTCACACGTGACACAGTGTAAGAGTGTCTACTTTTTTCAAGCAATACTGTAAATCTGGTAAAAGGTGCAGTGACACATTCATGTTAGTAAGAATTATAACTATAACTACTTCTATAATTCTATATATGTACAACATAAATTACTTTGACTATGACAAAATATTAATCAAAAATATTTAAGACTCATTGCTGACACATCCATTTATTGTGTTCAGAATGAGATAAGTATAGAGAAAAAAATGCTTCTGTTTTGTAGCTTGGAAACAAATGCAGTAACAGGAATTAAGCAAAACAAAGATGCTATTTCTACAGAGACACAATTAGGGTATTCAAATCTTCAAAAGACAACACATATCACTTGGTTTACATCACCCAGAAAAATGCCTATGTATTCATAAATGGTCATGAGAATTGAGGTGGGGGGGGGGGGGGGCAACTGGGGTGTGATGTTCATTTTCACAGAAACGTTTTCCTTCGACCCTGGAGCAAGTAAATGGTTATCTTTGAGACACTTTATGACTGGTTACAATTATGGACTCATCATTTTATTCATTCATTTTTTTAAATTGACACCCAAGAAACCATTGTGACTTGAAGAGGTTTTAAACAAGACTAACAATGGTTTATGTTTGGAGCAACGACAACCATAGATCGACATAATTTAATCTATCCCTAGTACATCTTATGCATTATAAATAAGTGACAACTACATCATCACTTGCTTTTCTTCCTTTTGTCAGACTATTGCAAGCTAGGATGGCCTCTAGCAGTAGTGACGACCAAGCCAGTGGCAGTATGGAGGCGGGCAACAACAGACTTGCGCAAGAGAAATCACCCTACTTACTACAACATGCCAGCAACCCTGTAGACTGGTGAGTCTTCTTGTAACTCATGTGTCTAGTAAGTTTTTACAGTTATCATCCACATGTCAATAAATCTCTTCTGCCTCAATTTGTGGTAGACTGTTTTGTGTCTCACAGTAATGTCATATTTTTACCAGACATTTGGTCCATTATGACATTGAGATTTTATTGTTTCTTTCAAAATAAGAGTCTGTAAGTCACTCTTTTAAAAATGCATTTTTACATGTGTAGGATACCTTCAAATGCAGTATTTATACAAAAAAAAACATAAATATATATATTTATATATTATATATTTCTATTTCAGGTATCCTTGGGGTCAAGAAGCCTTTGATAAAGCTAGAGTGGAAAACAAACTCATCTTCCTTTCAGGTAATCAAGAATGATATCCGAATTTTGATTTACATTACTATGCAATATTTGAAAAGTTGTCTTGTGGAGATTAAGTCCTGTGTGTTTTGAAATTTTAGACAAAACTGCATTATTTAAGTGTATAATTCTTTTATAAGTAATATATACAGATTTTTTTTAATTCAGTGAAAACTCACCCGAAAGCATTGTAGACTGCAGGAAATGCATGAAAAGGAAAACCGAGAGCCTAGTGAAATCTTTTAAATGTAATTTTCAATAACAAAAGAATAATTAACAATTCATTTTTGCTATTGGTGATGTGTGTTTGCAAAATGGGTAATAACTTAATGTATTCTTAATGGGTCATCCGGCATCACCAAATTATTTAAGTGTTAATAATGGGCTAATCAATGTTTGACAGTATTTATGATTTTTAATGTTTCAGTGGCTAATGCAACATGTCACTTGTGTCATGTGGTGGAGAGGGAGTCCTATGAGAATGATTGAAAATGAAAAAAATGTTTTTAAAAAAATGGATAATGATTATTGATGTATAAATCAATGGCAGGTTGTTGAAAGCATCAAGAGAAATTAAATTGATATTTCTGTGTGTATTTATAGTGGGTTATGCAACAAGTCACTGATATGTGATGGAAAGAGAAAGAGAGAAGGGGGAGGGAGGTAGAGAGAGAGAGAGAGAGAGATAGAAAGAGAGTTTGAGTTTGAGTTTGAGTATGTTAACTCCGTTATCTGAGAATGTTTACACTAGAAAACTGAAGAAGGAAGAATTAATTTTTTATATTTAAAGTTTAGCAGGTTGTCCGATGTAACACTGAAATCCAAATAATTTGTCTATTTTCTAGTTGGTTACTCAACATGTCACTGGTGTCATGTGATGGAGAGGGAATCCTTTGAGAACGTGGACATTGGAAAGCTGATGAATGAACACTACGTCAGCATCAAGGTGGACAGAGAGGAGAGACCAGATGTTGATAGGGTCTATATGACATTTATTCAAGTAAGTGCATCTCAATGGGTTATTGGTGCTCTAGAGGTTACCTAATATGCCCCTAGTGACAATGCCTTCAGGCTTTAGTTTCTCAAGGGGGCTTAGAGTGAAGGTTATGGTCACAGTTGCGTAATGGGTTAGGTTTAGAGTTGGGGTTGGGGTCACAGTTTGGTTTTTCGGTTGGGTTTAGGCTTGGGATAACAGGGAATAATTTTCCTCAAATTTTTTGATTAGCAATTTCAGCCGATGGATAAATATTTCAAATGAAATTCTGTACATTTCTATGGAAGAAAACTGCTACACAAAAGATATTTTGTATAGCAGTCATGCAAAAATGCATAGCAAATTGCGATGCGATACCAGGAAAATTATTCCCTGGGATAAGGTGTTTAGGGTTAGGTACTGTGTTCAGTCCAGGATTGAGGCATGTACTTTGATTACTGAATGTTATTGACCATGGAACAAATTTTCACATGAGCTTGTGTCATAGAACTGTTTTTGAATATTTCATTCAATTTACCTGAATGTTAAAATAATGTGGACTCAAACCAAGTCACCCAATAGAAACATTATAAATAACCACTATACTTGTCTTGGTAGATAGCCTCTATTGTCAGGATGTGAAAATGAATTCAATCTTAATTGGAAAACATTCAAAGTGATTACTGCATTTGACTCTTCTTGCTTGTAGCTAAACAGATTTGAGACCTGTATATTTTTTAGACCGGACTTGTTTGCCCTTGTCACCCTGTTGAAGGCACCATTTCAAACATAATTTGACTGGGGGATTCAGTTTGATACCCACAATGTTTCAGGAAAATGTTCAATCCGCTCATTTAGTTAGATATGGGTATTACTATAGTATTATCCAATACATTATCATTACCGGTATACATGCTCAAGCGAAAATAGCTAGGAGTTTGCCTTGTCCTTGTGCTATGTATTTTGTTGGTACTATATGCTATTCAAAGTAATGGTAAGATTTGTGGATCATTTAAACTCCTTCTTGCCCTCCTCTTCACTTCTCTAGGCTACTGCCGGAGGTGGTGGTTGGCCGATGAGCGTCTGGTTGACCCCTGACCTCAAGCCCCTGATGGGGGGTACTTATTTTCCCCCTCATGACAGGTTTGGCAGACCAGGGTTTCCTACAATTCTACAGTCAATTGCCAGGCAGGTTAGTAGCTTAGACTGGTCCAGTTCGTTTTATTTAGCCCCACTTAGACATGACTCGGTAAACAACCTGAAAAAAATGCCATTGTGAAAAATAGTTTTGAATTAATGACTAGAGAGGGATGGAAATTTGTAGCTGTGTGTAATAATGGCCTCTTTGTACACTTTCTGAGATGACTTAACCCTATTTAGCCCGGGCTATTTTGAAACTGCATAGCCCGGGGGGGGGGGGGGGGGGGGGGGGGGGGGGGGGGGGGGCTTCTAATGCCCAACCCCTATGATCTCAGCCATGAAACGACTGATCGCCGCGAAAATTTGCATTCATGTCAAGTGAAGTGTATAGAATACTATGGTAATTTCAATTTTTTGAAAAATTCACTCATTTGCATATTTATGGTAATTTATGCAAATAAGGTCATAAAATTCACATTTTTGCCCATAAATCAGACATTATTCATATTTAAGCATTCCTTTTCACTACATATATTTGTTAGACCATTTGGAATAATAATACAACACAAAAATTGAAAAACCAGGGTTATTCCTTATGTTATCTATTGTTTTGATAATTTCTTATGTATTTCTTTGTTTTTTTAACTTATGTATTTCATTGTTTTTGTAGTTTTATTTCATTTCCAACTATAATTCAACTATTTTGACCCCAAAATAAACACCTAAACTATAAACAAGACCAAATAACCAATGTTTTATCTCTTTAATTGAAAAATGAGATTTCCATATGTTTTGTACACAAATCACAAAAATGAGCGATTTTCGGCTGACATGCAAAGACAAAAGGACACGTGACTTTGTAACGGTAGGTCCGATTTTCGAAAAAAGTCACAAAATTTTAGTGCAAGATTTTCTTGCGTTAAAAAAATATCGCGGAAAATGTCGAGGGGGGGGGGGCTTCTAAAGCCCCCCCCCCCCCCGGGCTAAATAGGGTTAAAGTATAATATGAGTCACAGATCTGTATCTTATAACACAGAACTCAGTGGATATATGCAGGACCTTTGTTGCACACAGTTGACATTTATTTACAAATAAAGAAGCCTTTGTGTCATTTTGGTTGCTTTATGAACTTGAATTGAGGATGTTATAAATAATAAAATCTCAAAGAGTGATATCCTGTGCCAAACTTTTGCCTGACTGCATGTTTATTCATCTGTATCGGAGGGTGTGTCTTGCGGCTTCCCTCAGTATAAACATTATAATCTCAACTGGTAGATCACATAAACAGAATATTGTCACAACCTAAATCAAAGGGATGATTCTCAAACTTATTTTGGTTATATGTTTCCTACCTGCAGTGGGGGGGAAACAGAGAAGCCCTTGAACAGCAAAGCACTAAGATCATAGAAGCTCTGCAGGCAGCGGTCAAGGTCAAGTCCACCAGTGACCCTTCACCCCTAGGGACAGAGGTCATGGAGAAGTGCTTCAAGCAACTCACAGATAGCTTTGATAACCAGTATGGCGGGTTTGGAGGAGCTCCTAAATTTCCTCAACCAGGTAATGCGTGTAGAGTCATTCAAAGTAAGGAAACCAAAGTAATTTTGTTTTCAGAGTGATTGAAAAAACTGAATGGTAATATCATAGTGTTGGAGAAAAGGTATGGTAATTGCAGAGGTTGAAAAATAGATTGGATTATTTGGAGGTGCCGTGGTCTAATAGATACGTCACCAGACTGTGGATCACAAGGTTTGCTGTTTGAGTCCAGCCGCGACACTTATGTCCTTGGCAAGATATCAATCTACATGTGCCACACCCAACCCATGTGAGATAAATGGGTACCTTGCAGAAATCAATTTCTTGAAATGATAGAGCGCAATAATGAGTGGTTGTTGTTGCTGTTGTTGTTTTTTATATTTATTTGCACTCACCCCTCTGATGTTAGAGCAAAACACTAGACAGCATATCATGAAACACTTTCCTATTTGGAAAACCAAACATCTACATCGTTGATAAAGGAAAATGTTGTGAGCCCTACAATAAATATTTGTTCCATGTCCTATCAACATCAACATCAACAGTATACAGAAGAAAAGGTAGTCCTGTTGGTCTTCCGGTCGCTTCTTCTTTATGGTTGTGATTAAGAGACGAAAACAACTTTGAGGGCACACTAGAGAGATGGATCACATGCAACATACTGAAATTTAGACCAATAAATATTGAGTAATATTTTGAATATATTTTCTTTTTCAAACAACCTGGGATTACCAATCAAATTGTGTTTGTGTCAATTGTGACAGTGTATTATGGTAACTTGGTTGCAATAAATCACTGGTATGTGTATATTTCTTTATTGCAGTGAATTTCAACTTCCTGTTTAGACTGTATTCAAGTCCCCCTGGTGAGAGTGAGATAGGTGAGAGAGGCCTTAAGATGTGCTTACATACCCTGAAGATGATGGCTAAAGGAGGGATACACGACCATGTCAGTCAGGTAAGGAGCTTTATTGTGTAATAGTAATACTGATAATATTCAGTTCTTGAATAGCGCATATAATACATTATGAAATAACGTCTCTATGTGCTTCCAAAAAGCTTTGGAAATTATTACCCTAGCTTTAGCTTCGGCAGCAGTTATCAGCGCACACTGCATTTCAAGGAAAAATCCTACCAGGTACCCATTTACCTCACCAGGGTGGAGGTTGGTGTAAGCTAGTTGTGTTCAAGGTTATTTTGTCTTTGGAAAGCCGGAAGGATGTTAACTCTTAGGCTAATTGTTTTTCCTAAGACTTGACATTCTTCTGGTTGTCAGCATACAATTTATATGGGTTAAAGATGTCTCTGCATACCCTTAAGGTGATGGCTAGAGGGGGGGATACATTATCATGTTAGTCAGGTAAAAAAGCTTCAAGATCCAGTTGAAAGAAAATTAAATTTTGTATGAAATCAATGTTGGGCTCTTCTTTGTCAAATTAAACACTATAAAATCAATGTTAAGTTATATATACATGAAGTCTACAACAGAAGCTTTTAAAGCAGAAACCTGCTCGCATGTGTTGCATTCCTATGTTTAGCACTTGTGCGAGGCTTTGAGATCATGTTAGTTCGAGTTATTCATACAGAGTTGCAATTTGTTTCAAGTACATGCCCCTTGGTGGAAGACAGTTCAAGTGTGTATTTGCTTTCTTTTGTACAGGGTTTCCATCGGTACTCCACAGATCGTTTCTGGCATGTACCTCACTTTGAGAAGATGCTGTATGATCAGGGACAATTAGCCGTAGCATACCTAGATGCGTATCAGGTAAGATATTACAGCCTTCTACAACGCTAATCTATGCAGGGGGTTGCACTCCGGGCGAAAATATCTGCGTAGCTTCCAAATCTACAACGGTATTCAGCTGTAATAATGTCGGGAGTCGAGCTAGTACAGGGTGCCGAGCTCATTTAAATACCCTGTAATCAGCACTTGCATCGCAGTGCGAAAACTTGCTACTTATGTACAGGGTGCTGTACTTTCAGTCACGTGGTGCTAGCTGCGCTGTTGTAGCGATCACAAGTTTACACCATCCTTCTCTGTCTGCTGTTGCTCTTGTTGCCTCTGACAGCTTTTTCCCTGTCCATATGGGGATGTCTTTGAACCAGGAAATAGCAGGTCTGCCTCTTCTTCGTCTGGCTTCCACTGTTCCTGTTATAAGTGACTTTCCAAGACCATCTCTCCTGCACATGGTGCTACAGAAATATATATCGTTTGACAAAATGTTGAGTGAACAACAAGTATTTGTCATACAGTAATCAGATGCCTACCAACGGACCAAAATTAATGTACAGGGGGTCACAGGAAAACAATATTCATTTACCAGTAAAAAGACATTTTGTGACCAGGAAAATGAGCATAAGTGTATGGGTATTCCTATCAATGGACCAAAATTACATAATATATCGTATTTGGGGTGCTACAGCAAACAAAGAAATGGAAAGATGTTGTATGACCAGCTAATTTTGATGCATACCAGGTAAACACAAAGCGGACTTGCCCCCGTAGCCCATCTAGACCTCAATAGTGCTGCTTAACCTTATTTATTTTTTGCCCATATGAAAGAATCGCTTCATCCACAATGCAACTATAGTAAAAGAAGTTAACAAATGTACACATGTGTAATAACACTTTTTGATATGTAACCACTCTACTTTTTTTTTCAGTACTGAGATTAACATTGTTGTACTCTTTCCTATTTGTTCTGTTAATCTCAGATTACCAAAGATGCTGTTTTTGCAGATGTGGCTCGAGATATATTAGAGTACGTAGGTCGAGACTTGAGCGACAAAGTAAGTCATCAAAATGTGGAGATTAAATTCTTCCCCCCCCCCCCCAGATATTCTAGCATCTAAAATAAACATCCTCCTCCTAACTGAACAAAATAATACATTGCCTTTCATTTGTGGACATGTGATCAATCTGGCACCTTCTATATATTCAATGATTGCATTTCCAATTTCTTAATTGTCTCTTCAAACATTAAACTTGAAATTAAATTGGAAATATAAATTTCCAGATACATTTATCTGAATACAGTAAACATATTTTAATGTATTTTAATGAACCTTTCAAGAAAAAAACCCCTTAGTATTAAAGATGACAAAGGTATTTGTTTCAAGTTTTATTTCCACTTTATCAAAGACAACATAATTGAACATAATGAGCATGGTAATAATTATAACTAAACATACAATACAGAAAACGAAATTTACATGGTAATAGTTATAACAAAGGATACAATCATAAGTATGAAATACATTGAAAATGCTAAATAACAAAGCTTGTATTGTGTAGGTCCCAATGAATAGGTTTGTATATAAATTTGGGTATCTGAATAAACATAAGATATTTACAAAAGCATATGATTACATGATGTGTAAGCAAATGTTTTTCTGCATTTTCTTTTTTCCTTGAAGGCAGGTGGTTTCTACAGTGCAGAGGATGCTGACTCCCTGCCTGCAGCGGATGAGACGCACAAGAAAGAAGGCGCCTTCTGTGTCTGGACGGACATGGAGGTCAGGACGCATCTGAGCGATACGGTGGAAGGATCCGACTTGGTCACGTTAGCAGATGTGTTCTGCAAGCACTATGACATCAAAACAGGAGGCAATGTGGACTTTGAACAGGTAGAGTTCATACTAACAGTGATTTTAAAGCTTCACTGTACTACTTGTAGCTACTTGCTCCCTCTATATAGCAAACAATGCCTAATCGGTGACCATTGGTTCCCCATGATCTTCGTTTTCTTATGCTAATTGAGAGCTGATTTGATGAGATAACCACCCGTCCAGTGATCTTGCAGAGTGGTCTAATCCCTCCTATAAACTAGTACAGATGTGCTTTAAAGTGAAATTTAGTAGGGATACATGTACTTTAATTGGTGTGACATAAATTCACTGAATAAGCGACTGCCAAAATCTTTTGATGATAATTGTGTAATTGCTGCATTGAAATAAGTATGTAATTGCCCAAAATTGATGATTGATTAATATTCAGCAATTTAAAGTGAAATTTAGTGAGGATACATCTACATTCAATTTGTGTGACACTAAATTCACTATTAAAATAAGTGACTGCCAAATCTTTTGTGTATAATTGCTGTATTGAAATAAATATTTGATTGGCCAAAATTGATGATTGATTATTATTACCCGTATCAGACATCTGAGCTGGTCATTTACAAAACCGTATTGCCCTAGTTTTCACTAGCAGTGGGAACGGAGGGGTATATTCTTTGTATTTTCCTTGGTCTCCCTGCGCGTATTGACTTTGCGTGTAGAGACGAGTGAAAATATACCTTGGTATTTTCCACGGTCTCGCATTTTCATTGCGCATCTATTAATATTATGCGTACGAGAACCTGCACACTTTGCGCGCACTCTATTGTGACGTAATAATCACACCAAATACACACTGTTTGTAGTGTATCGAAAATTTTGTCAAGCACTGGATGCACAGTGTTGGTTTGACAAAGTTTGTTCAGTTCTTGAGATTGTTATGGTGGATGTCTCTATTTGCTATAGATGTCTGATTTGGATAACAATAAAAATATTGACTGGCTTTACTTTCGGGGGATATCAGAAATATTGACCGCGCTAAGACCATATTGCCCTCGTCTTTCGACTCGGGGCAATATGATCTGAGCTTGGTCAATATTTCTGATATACCCCTCAAGGCCAGTCAATATTATATAAATATTCCGCAATTGATATTGATATGAAATAATGACTCGTCCATTCTACTGGTAAACAAGAAACTTTCACCAAATGAAACTCTCCTGAATGAAAAATGATATCAATTTTCATGGCAAGAAACTTTTCTTGATCGCAAAAGTTCAGTGTTGTGTCAAGTGTGATCAAATGATTTTATGGCATGAAACTTTGGTGAATCTAAAGCACTTAGGAACACTCAGGTATATTTCATGTGCACAGAAGCTTAGGGAGATGGTTGTCATTTCCATATGCAGTAGGTCATAATCACACCAGACTAGGTGGAACTGCCATTGGGTGTACAAGTCTTGCACACAGCAAACATGTGGTCCCATCAAGAAATACCCTATAGTCTCTTGGAAACTCTTCGGGTGAGGGTTATGTGATATAATCACTCTTCCATATTGGGACATTGGTGGGAAATGCAGAGCATTACGTAAGGCATGTTGGTCATAAAACTGAAGGCTAATCCTGGTGTTTGACAACACCGTCTATTGGTTAAACACCCAAATGGTGTCGAATTTCCCATAAGAGCCCACTACTACGCGTCTTTAAAGAGAAGGTTGAGTTCTGGGAAGAGGTGAAAAATAATTTGTAAGCGTTATTGTTGTTATTATGCAAGTGTGGAAGAACATCAGATAAAACATGTTCCTGAAAAGCATGGCTCTTTAAATGCCTTCATATTCTAAATATGTCATGTAACATCGTAAAAGTCAGGACAGATTTTTACGCCACGTGTTCATGTAGTCCCATACACATTTTTCTGTGTACAGTGTTTGTAAATTTAGCAAGACCAAGACTTGGCCAAATTTCTTATCATTTTGATGATTCCAGAACCTTGTAATACACACGAATACTTATATGCTAGATTTCTGGTCGATTCCACACCGTTTCTTACACAATGCAATCGCGTGACCAGAACTCAACTTCATCTTTAACAGTAGCGTAATTTAATCATGTTTACACTAGGACCCCCAGTACTAAGTAGTGTAATTTAATCCTGTTTACACTAGGACCCCCATGGTGAGTTGAAGGATCAGAACGTACTCATAGCTCGAGGTGACGTGGCCTCCACTGCATCGATGCTTGGTCTGACCGAAGGGACGGTAGAGGCAGCATTGGAGACAGCCCGGAGGACACTGCACAAGGTCAGGTTAGAGCGCCCTCGCCCTCACCTCGATGATAAGATGCTCACAGCGTGGAATGGTAAGAGTCAAAGACATACTGTCTGGTGAGAGCCAGAAACTTATTACTGTAAATCTCTGTGTATATGACGCACCTGTGTATAAGACGCACCCCTGTTTTGGGGGTCTAGAAAAAAACGACTCCTTAGGCAGCAAGCCAGGTCTGTGTTCAAAAATCCATGCGGGGAAGGACCTTTATTTTACTGCCAGGTGCAGTTGAAGGCGCCGATTTGTGCTTGTGAACTTGTCACAAAAAATAGTAACAATGTCGTTTTTAAAACTAAAGATGACAGACAAATTTCCTCTATGTCCAAACAGAAATCTGGACATACAGGTAGTGTTGTTCCAGTTTCTGACTGGTGAGTCAACACACAGAGACATTGCAAGGCACAGTGCCAGGTGGAGGGGCATTAATCCACACTTTAACAAATTCCTGTACCTGTGTATAAGAAGCAACCCCGACTTGCAAAAAACAAAATTGGTGGAAAAAAGGTGCGTCTTATATACAGAGATTTACGGTAATTCCAATGTTTTACAGAGAGTCATAGGTAAAAATCACAGACATAAGCTTTATTGAGGGCCAGAAGGACATTAACACAAATATTTGTACAGCATGTTTATGGGTAAGAATGACATCCATATCATTGTTGCTACATCTGACAAGCCTCTGGCATGCTTTCAAGTCATAAAAAGAAGTATACATAAACTTGGAATCGGGCCTATTTAAGTGCCTTTGTGAAATTTTGAGTACATTCTTTTCTTCTCTCTGGAATGTTGTAGGGTTGATGATATCTGGGTTTTCAAGGGCAGGGCAGGTCCTTCAAGCCCCAGAATTCACAAAGCGAGCAGAACAAGCGGTAACCTTCATCAGGCAGCACCTATACGACCCTTCCACAGGCTGCCTGCTCAGGAGTGCCTATAGGAACAAAGAGGGAGACATTGCTCAAATGTAAGTCAATCAGACACTCTTTCTAAATGTTACAAAACCATTTAATTTGTTGAAAATGGTTGGTAATGGATGAAGATTTGTGTCATTGTCTTCTTCTTCTTCTTCTTCTTCTTCTTCTTCTTCTTCTTCTTCTTCAAGATAATTTGCCACCTTTACTGCTGAAGATTCTTGCAGATGTATAAGTGCATGTGTGTGGCTACATAGTGATGCCCAGGTGTGCAGCCAAATTCTGAAGTTTAATTTCCGATTTCGGATGATTTCTGTATTTGGAAATTCAACATTCAATTCATAAGAATTCCACAAAAAATGAGTTTGCCCAAACTGGTATGGAATTGAGATCTTTTATAATTTAGATTATTTTATTTAGTATTTATTGAGTACAATGCAAATATTCCCTGAATATTGCTGATAATTCTGGTTTAAACGCTTTTCAACTGAGAGGTCAAGCACCGCAGACATTGACACAGCGCCATGTATGGATGATTCTGCGAGTGTATGAGTACTTATTTTTACAAGAAATTACAGTGTAGAAGAATATATGAGAGGGGAAAAACATTTGAATTTGAAGGAATTTATCACTGTCAATTTTCCTTTAATTGTTTTCTCCCTATCAGCCCCATTCCAATCCAGGGCTTTGTAGATGACTACTGCTTCCTGATCAGAGGCCTGCTGGATCTTTATGAAGCTAATTATGATGAGCAGTGGATTGAATGGGCAAGTCAGCTCCAAGAGAAGCTGGATGAGTTGCTATGGGATACAGAGAATGGTGGATACTTCTCCACCACCGATAAAGACTCCTCCATCCTCCTCAGGTTAAAGGAAGGTGAGCAATTTGTTCTTCACCTTTTAGATGCAGTTTACCATAAGGCCTTTAAAAAAAAGATGTTGTATTGCCCTTTAGGTGCCAAAACATGGGTCGGTTGGTCGGTCAGAAATCTTTTTGTGTTTTTACTCCCCCTTTGGGCTGATATTTCTCAGTTTTGAATGCTTTAATACAATTTTTTTCTCTAAAAAACGGTAAAAAAAAGAAGAATTTTTTAAAAAGCCGAACTAGATTTCAAGATTTTTGGGTCAGTCGCAAAGAGCAATACAACATCTTCTTTTTTTTAGGCCTAACATCCTGTATATGACATGCACTCATAATTTGGGACACAGATTTGAAAGAAATAATTGTTGGATGTACTAACTGAGATCCCCCCCCCCCCTCCCATCTTGATTAATTTATTTTTATTCAACCCCATCTACACAGCATTTCAGTCTGTAAATCATGTAGAATTGGTGGTGATAAATTTTTACTTTTTCAAGACTACCAATAGTCCTTTTCAGGACTACGCACACTCAAGAAAGAAAGATTACAGAGAATCCTTTTCAGGTACTCCCCAATCCTCCCCCCTCTCTCACATGATGCATCCGCAAACCTACTGTATGAATTCTTAATTCTCTTTATCATATCTTGAACCTCCATAACAAAGTTAGAAAGTTGACAAAGCTCATGTTTGCATGCTTCTCCCAATTTCAAGACGATTCAATGTGATATATAACCTAACTTGAACTTGCAGACCAAGATGGTGCAGAGCCCAGTGCCAACTCGGTAGCCTGCATGAATCTCCTGAGGCTCTCTCACTACCTGAACAGACCAGACTACCAGGAGAAGGCTTCCAAGCTCTTCTCTGTCTTTGGGGAGAGACTGCAGAAGATACCCATAGCATTGCCAGAGATGGCCTCAGCACTGCTCTTTCAAGAGAGCACAGCCAAGCAGGTAGCGTGAAAGGATGTCCAAATGTGCCATTTTCTTAATGAAATCAAATTTAATGCACAAGTCTATGTTAAGTGCCTCGTTACAAATTATTTGATTTGCCAGTTACGAAAAAATGTATTTCAATAGTCAGAATGCAAATTGCATACATTAAATGTTGCCAGGTAGGGCAAGCCATAATATTTTTCAAATAACACATAATTACCTCCCCCCCCCAAAAAAAAATGGAGCAACAATAACAATATAGAAAAATACATGCTCGAGCCAATCAGCGAAGACTTTCAGTCAATTATGCACAGTGTCACCTGTGAGTTTATAGGGAGTGTAGCCTGACGAGACTACGTGTCTTTCCCGTTGCCTGACTCGGGCCCAATCGGGTATAATACGACTACGGACAACGCGACGGCAGCAATCACGTGCGTCAACATACGCGAAACCGAAGCGTGAGGAGACTTCAGTCTGTATCACAAACGCTGACCATGTAGAGATTAAGTCGCTGACTACCGTTAATTAAGTCCATTCGTTTGCGTGCAGTTGTCCAAAAGAAGATGAAGATGGCGTTAACCATTATTTGCAAAGCTATACTACCTTCAACCTCAGTATTAACTGACCCTTGTGCTCTTTCCACGATCACAGATCATCATCTGTGGTGACCCGCAAGCAGAGGACACCAGGCAACTCCTGCAGTGTGTCCATACTCACTACCTACCCAACAAAGTCCTCATCCTCACCGACGAAGGCCAGACATCCAGCTTTCTATCGTCACGCCTAGACATCCTCAAGACACTCCAGAGGATAGATGGGAAGGCTACGGCGTACGTGTGCGAGAACTACCAGTGCCAGCTGCCTGTGAACAGTGTGGATGACCTCGCAGACTTGCTGAAGAAATGAACAGCTTGCATTTAAGTGATGTCCCACTTTCATTCGACCCTAGAAATTTCTCTTCTTCAGGGGCTCAATTCAAATTTTGGACAAGAATTTTGTCCCTAGAAGGAAATTTTAAGGGCTATTTGAGGGGCTATGGGACTTGTGGAAGAAGGACTTTAGGGGGCTATTCAACTTGCTGAAAGTTTGCGATAAGTAACTTCTTATTTCAACTCTTCTTAGTTCTTGCCTGGAATGGCTCTGTGATGAATTGCAACAACAAAAAAAATCCCTGAATGAGGAATAGTTGGGCTCTCTCAGAAGCTATGAATGATGCACAATGCTTTTGTTCTATGCAGTACCTGGTGTAATACTACATTATGCATCCATCTCAAATTCGCCTTAAACAGGATGCCAGTTTTATTGCTTTCAACTGATTTCAAGCCCTGACACCACTCTTGTTTCAAGCATTTTCAGAGTTTTTCAGGTTTACAGTGCACAAAACATACATCTGTATGGCTGCGAAATATATTAGCCCCTTTGCAGGCGAAATGATTGAAATTAACTGGTGTTCATAGTTGCCACAAATAATGTGAACATAGATTCTGATATAGGAAAAAAAAAACATCAATCAAAGTCATAATGACTTTGAAGGTTGACATTTAATTCATGACCATCCTCAGGAACTGAAGTTAAATGTATACATGCACTGCTTATATATATATGTAGTTAGGAGGCTTGACAACATAAAGTAAATTAATCAATTAAGAATCGAATTATCGAAGATGTCCGTGATGTAATGAGTTAAATTGGTTTAAAAGGTTGACTCAAATCTTTAATATTCAGGTAAAAAGATTTCTCATGTATTTTTTTTTATAGCTATTATACTGTTGCTAAATTTTTATGAAATTACAATAATGTGCACAAACAGTTTCACAATGAAGATATGGAAGTCTACACCTCATCTTTATTTGCCTTGATGGGTAGAAATAATCTTGAAATTCAGTTCATTCTTTATTTATTCTTCGTGCAAACATTAAAATATATACAAAGCATTTCAAGATATAATACTATGTACATCAAATTAATTCATATAAATAAAGCAGATTAAACAGGGCAATCATTAAAAGCCTTCCGAGGCTTGACAGGTTGATGGTCCCAATAATTGGCTATTTATAACATTGATATTTTGGCAGAATGCGCTGCAATCATACTGGTTTACCTATCACCAAGTCCACAGTAACAACAGTAAATTTGTGTGAGGTCAGCTAGGCTTGCTTTAAGTGCATATCAGTGCTCTGTCCTTAGAGACCTGGATGTGATTTGTGAGCTGTGCATAGAGAAGATTGAGTTTGGAACAAATCTCTTCGCGTCTGATGTTGTAGTTAGGTATGCAGAATCTCATTCAGTGTGAAAGTGAAAATTGCTTGGAATTGCATTAGGTATATGAGGTTTATGTTGTGTGCTTTATTGACAATTTTCATCTTCCGTTATTGTATTTAGCATTAAAGGTAATGCAAATTTTTTGGGAAAATTGAATGGATAGTAATCTTTAAAATTTTGATATAATTATTTGGATGCCCCTGTGGATGTATTATAAGCACTAGAAAATTTAGCCCTTAAAACACTTCTGCTTTTGAGAAATCAAATGATCAAAATTTACTGGTACTCCCAGTAAGTTTCAAATATTTCAAATAGCGGCTAAGGCCATTCCGTGGTAGCTACGACCGTGAAAATCTCAGAATATGCAGTTCTGATATACGATTTCCAAACGGGAATAGCAAATTGGTCGATTGTAGTCAAGAAACAATTAAAGCTGAAGTAATATCAGTCTTGAGAGGGAGCTATACAACATTTAGTTTATTATTTGCAATTTCATCACTTAAGACTCCATTTCAACCGCAACAACGATCACTGAATATTGTTCATATGAACCAAATTCATGACCCCATACCAAAATGTTGTATTACCTTTAAACTTATACTTCCCTTCTCTTTAGATAAATGATGCAATATAATTTTGAAAATATGTTAAATTAATGAGATGATAACGTGTTATAAATGTACTTTTTTCATGATATTCATGATGTGGATATGTGCTCTTCAGAGAAGGGATAATTTTGCTAGTGATATTCGTTCGTCTCGCAATGTATGGTCAACAAGGGATCTAAAAGATCACCACGTTTCGTGCGCCACTGCAACACTTTGTCAGGTGATATTATTTTTGATACTGCATGTACACCTGCAATGAGTAATATGAAGGGATAATTTGTTTATGTGTACAGGGTCAAGGTGTAAATTCAGTATGCACGGCAGTGTTTTTCCACATAAAAACTTTTCTTTCGTCATTTACATTTCATATTTCGATATGTATGAGGCTTAATTATGTGCTAAAAATATTGAAGAGATCTTATTTGTTTTGTATGTAAAATTCATGATATTCGTGATATAATTGTACATTCTACATAGCAGGAGTAATGTTTATAGTGTAGGGGTTGAGCTGTATGTATGCCAATGTTTTTCAAATTTTATTTTCATTCCCTAGCACAAAAATTATACCACAATACCAGTACATCTTTTCCCAATAGCCTATTTCAAAGGTCCCCTAATTAGCAATGTTAAATGTAAAACTTACACAAGTATAGATAGCATTTGTGATGCAAGCCTTCTAAGGATCTTCTAAATATGCAGTGGGGCATATCTTAGGTATTTGTGTGCATTATCAGATCAGGGGCGGTGATTCCGGGGGTGGGGGTTTAAAAAACTGAACACAAAAAAATGTATAGCAAATACTGACTAAAGACTGCAACACACATTTAGGCTCTGGAGGGCCCAAGAGTGCAGCATTTATAGACTAATGAAAATCTCTCTCGGTTGCTACGCTCCCTCACATAATATTCTCCAAAATGTACAAGTGAATATTGTAGAAAATCTTGCATTTCATCATGGATTAATAAAGCAACAAGGTTTTCAATGAATTTTTGTTATCAATCAAACAAATAGTGAAATCTAATTTCCAAAAGTTTGTATTGTATTTATAGTTATTGTTATGACATTTTGAGCAGAGTTTGTAGTTCATAACATTTTTGAAATATTGTCTGAGTACATTAAAAACGTGAAATCATATTCTTAATAGCGATATTGTCACAATGTTATAAAAGTACTACCAATTATTATTCAAATGATGGGGCATTGGTAAAACCAGACCCATCTTATGTTAATTGTCACCGTTTAAATGTCATACCTGGGCTTCTTTTTAATATCTGTTTTATATTTTTTGCTGTTTTTGTTATATTTCAACAACAGCATTTATTTGTGACACAGAATATGTACCGTTACACGTTTTCTTACACTTTAAACTTAATCGATAGAAAAAAGTTATTTGTTTATTTTGACTGTATGTGAGAAAATTTACCTGTGTCTAGTGAGTGGATTTCATGCTTTTTATATTTGAAATATGTTCGTTGTCGCCATGTGAATTTTGTGATTTAATCATGATCATGTACAAGTGTACAGAAATTTAAATGATTAAACATGAATCTTTCAATGCAAGCTTCTTCTCTTTCGTTTCTTTTTTTAAGTATGGCATATACAATCCAATGCTGCGATGATTGTTTCAAGTTAAGTTAATCCCAGAGTAGATGAGAAATAAACGTTACAGTGAGAGAGAAGAGAGACAGTTTAGAAGTAATTTTATAAAAAGGATCAAGACAAACGATTTGTATTTTTAACACCAATACCGTCTTTTTGATGTGTGTGTGTTTGTGAGTATGTTTGTTGTGGGGTATTTTTGGTGCAGGTGTACAATAAGAGTGCCAAATCTTACGGACATACACGCTATAAAAGAACCCAATATCATCATAATTATTATCATAATTTGTAACCCACATTGGTTAAGATGGATATTTGGGACATTTTGCCTTCATTTCGAGTTATACAGGGTGGCTCAATAGAAACGGTCTAGAATACTTCCAATAATGTGGGTTCGAGTGGTTTTTGTTTTAGGGAGTATTTTGTGACGTGATGTAGGATTTTAAAATTTTGTCCAGCAAGAATTGAGCTGCGTTTAAAAAAATTCACATAATTTCATGCCTGTGTTTAGGAAGTCAATAATAATAATGGTGGCTTCTTATATAGCGCACATGTCCGTCACGTTTTGACGCTCCTGGCGCTGCTGCCCCGATTATTGCCTATAATAGCACCTTAAAAGAAATATGTGTGGAGTTTTATGTCTGTGTTTCATCTAACGTTTATTACAGCTTGTCCAAACCTCAAACATAATACTATTTCTGAAAGTACACAGTATGGTACATTATCTGCCATCATTGCTCGTGGATGATCTCCAACACTATTTCACAAAAAGGCGTCTAAAAAAGAAATATTCAATTAATTTTGGAAAACTTGGTATCAATTTTTGTCTGGTACCGAGGAAATTTGCCTCGAATTATTTGAAATATTTTAGTCTGTTTTTTTGGGCAACCCTGTATTCATGATGGTTCCTGTAATTATACCTAGATTTCATTCATCCAGGCCCAGGGTCATTTGACGATGCAAGAAATACTTCTTTTTTCAGTATAGAAATAAACACTCGTGTACACAATTGTCATATATTGCAACAAGGTTTTATCCAAAAATGACACATGCCCTTGATTTCCTGCATTATGTATTTCATTTTCATTCTTTAATCATTCATAGATCATTACGTTCTAAAAGTATATAACATCTAAGTGTCCTTTTAAGAATTGTTTTCCGTGAAGAAAAAAATGGCAATGATGTGTCAATGTCCAAATTCAAGTGAGGTTCTTTTAAGAGACAAGAATTGAGGATGTTTTTTTAAGCTAGACGTGTAGACAAATTTAAATACATTTCGTCCTCAAAATTGCTAACTATTACAAAGTAACACTGTTATTGCGGTTACGTTTGTCGGTATTCTAGACTCTTAATCTCAATTATTCGTTGCTTTCCTATAGCTGGTTTCATTGATCAACCGCTCATAACCTTCCATCAAAAACGATTACATTTCTTCATTACAGTCCCCATGAGCTTGGTCATCTTATCGCTCAGTTGAATGTTTAAGCCGAAAGAATTCTCTTCATAAATTTCGCCTGTTTTTTCGCCCTTGTTCCCAAGCTATAATATATCTCATTAAAAATGTCTTCAAGCTTTTCAAAATCCCTTTGTTATTCGGAGGTTCTATAAGGTTTTCTCACTATCCTTCGATCATTGGTATCATTCACACGACAACTAATTTCCCTATATCTCTGGTTTTCTTGTTTTTGTATGTATAGGCCTATGATAATACTGCCTACGACTAGAATCCGGGTTACACATAATCTACAAAAAAGAATTGGCAGTGGTTTCTAAAAATTACCTCAAATCTGCAGTACTGCAATGTATTGTCAAGTTATGAAGCATGCCTCTTCGTAATAATTGTTCATGTGATGGTCAAGCAAGAAACAAATAATCCCGAATACACATTCTAAGTCGCTGTTTCTGCATCAAATTAATGACGAAATGCATATTTCTTGATTGTGTCAACTCGATTTGCAAGCGCCTCGTCGTTTTCTGATTTGAAAATTAGTGACCACGTCTATTAAATCGGCTTCTCCTACTTGCACTATTATAATCTCCCTCGAAAAATTCTCTTTCGACCGGCACCGTGTCGACGATCTCCTCCAACCCCATCTCGTGGTATTCGTCATCCGTATCGCTCGGTGTGTCGTCACCTTCGGCGAAGTAATCACCCATCGCGGGCTGTGACTCTTCAAACAATATAGGCAGTAGACCTGTTCTTGATATACCATCGGTCCGTCTTGCTGAAAGGTCTCCGATCTGGTCCTGGACTGCACGGATGGCTACCGAGTAGTAAAGCAGCGCTGCGACCTGCCTGCCTCGGCGTTCCATACTTGAAGCTGAGGTTGGATCTAGATCATTCTGTAAATCAATTTGGTATTGAGCTTCTAATTCGAGTGCATGACGGATGTTCTGATAAGCCTCTCCTCTTCTAACACGATCTTCTTGATAATCACCATCTTCTACTAGCGACCCACTCCTCACCCCGATATGCTCTGTGTTGTCATCCGAGCTGTTGCTATCCTCGTCAACCCTCCCCTGTCCAGCATCTCCTTGTGCCGACCCACTTATCAAGATCTGATAGTTCTCTGTGTTGTCCTCAGAATTGTCGCTATCCTCATCAACTGTACCCTCTGCGGCATCTACTAAATTGAATCTCCCATCTCCTCGTTGATCATTTTCTGTATCGCATCCGTTGCCATGGTCGCCATTGTCAGTTTCATCCATTCTGCGATCATCCTCTTCCTCTTCTACTTGCGTTTCAGATTCATCTTTCGTTTCTCCCTCATCATCATGACTAACTCGATCACCGTCTTCTTTAACTCTGTCCTCTC